TAACTGCTGATTTTTTTCATTCCTTCTGTACAATTGCTGGGTTTTGCCTCAGAGTGAATTTTCTTTGTAAAGCAGTCAGCACACATGCAGTTAGCATGATGTATAAGTAATTTTTAAAATAAGACTGATTATCATTTGTTTTTTTACATTGTCTTTTTATGGAGATAATGGCAAAAAAAAAGTAATGCAGACATATTGTGTTAGGAACCTAGAAAAACAGCTAAGGACGTTACATGCCAAACTGGGCCAGTACCGTATTGAAAAACAAATACCCACATTTTAAGTTTATTTGTTGCAAGGTTGAACTTCTGAAACATGCAAGTATGCATGAGCTTAAAAGAATTATGAAGTCAAAGGTAAAAAAATAAATTAAAAATCTAAATAAATGTCTGATATAGTCTAGTACTAAAACAGTCACACTTCTATATAGCATTTTCTGAGATATGTTCAAGTAGGAAAGCAGCTGAGACCAACTAGTGTCACTGAAAACAAGCTATAATGTTAAAATATTGAATTGCTCTTGGCCAGAGTAGCTAATATGAGTTATAAATTTGAATTCTGTTCCGTTATGCTTACTGCTTGGAAATGTGGAATGATCCAGCAACAATAAGAAATCTATATAAATTGAATACTGTATTTGCTTCTTTGTGATTTAGCATTCTAAAACACTCAGGCAAAAGAAAGGCTGCATTAAGAGAACATCAAGTGACTCATATTCAGAAGATAGGCAATACCATATCTGAGATTGCTTTTATAATGTTAATTCAGCTCAGCTGTGTGAGTCCCTTTCCAAAGAGCGGGTCATTTAATGAGAGCATTACTTTTCAGAAGACCTCTATCTCACTCAGATCTGGGAATAAGTCAACAGTTTGTGTTGAAGAAGACGCTGAATGTGATGTAGCCGAGCCCTCATTTGCTGTAGGAATGGAATTTGATGTAGTAAATGAGGTGGCACTTGCAAAAGGGTTGCTGGATTAAGGAATTTGAATAGTGCCCAGAATT